CCCATTGGTTACTCCTCCCACACCTTCTCTTCAGAAACTGGCAGTTGGACTTACCTGAACTGCATGTTCAGAAGAAAGGTGTGGGAGGAGTCACTTCCCCCCCCCCCGTGCAGGGCGCCCAGCGCCTAAGGGGCCTGAGTGAGTCCAGGGTCAGCTATAGCAGTTAGGAAGGATATGTGTTGGCTGTTCTTGTTTGTCCTTCCTTTCAGGTGTTCTGCTACGATCCATTGGTTAATCTGGGGAAGTCAGAGGAGGACCGTAGGTGTGGCCTCAAAAGATTACCGCAGTCTCCTAGGCAAGAGGGCTGGGTTAATACCCATTGGTTACTCCTCCCACACCTTTCTTCTAAACTTGCAGTTCAGCAAGTCCAACTGCCATTCTCATTCTCTCTCCCCCCCTCCTCTCCCGGAAACCCTCTAAGAAAGTGAGGGGGATCCGGCTTCAGTGGGTTCTTTGCCTCTCTACGATTTAGATCTGGTCCTGGGTCAGAAATGGCACACAGTAGATTGCTCTGCCAGCTGATCTCTGTTGGGAATGATGGGGAAAGTATGCCCCACTTTGGTCCTACCAGATTGATTGGTGGCATATTTACACAAGAGAGGTTTTTAAATTTATAATTATTTTACCCAAAATACTGGTCTGTGTTTCTTCCTTGAGATAATGAAATAATTAGGCTTAAGGTTCTTTTTGTTTTGGTCATGGCCCAAAATTTAATCCTTCTATGATTTTGATCCCAGCAGGAAATATTTGCAGTTTATAGTGTTTGCCCACGGAGCAGTGTTTCTCAGCCTCAGTAACATTAAAATTTCTGGACTTCAACCTCCCAGAATTTTCCAATCAAGTGTGCTGCTGGGGAATTTTGGGAATTGAAATCCAGACATCTTAAAGTTGCCAAGATTGAGAAAACATTATTAGATATATTGTTCTTTAAGATTGGTTCATCTCTATTCTAAGGGTTTTGGAATTTCATAAATTTATCCAGTAACACTGGTTGTAGGAACTTGCTTGTGAATTCAGTGTCGGGTTATGGTTGTCCCATATCTATTTATAGATATGAGTTGTTGGAAAATTATAACCAAATATTAGATATAATTTATAAATAGTATGTAGTGCCCTCCTGGGTAAGGTCTCCCACATTTGCTGACATTCTAGAAACCTGGTTTTATTTCAGTGAGATTTTGGCCCGATGGGTTGAATTGCTTGTGTTTTCTTATTGCTTGCGATACCCCCTCTCTTTCATTCCATCATCACCAAACTGATTGGAAGATCAGCTAATTTTAAAAAAAAACTTGCCCTCATGGCAAGTTTCTCTACTTCAGAGGCATTCTTGATGAAAATGTGATATAGCTGTGAGAATGTATGAGAATATACGGCCAGTCTGGTCTAGTCGTGAAGGCACCAAGCAGAAACCAGGAGACAGTGAGTTCTAGTCCCATTTTAGGCATGGAAGTCAGCTGGGTGACTTTGGACCAGTCACTCTGTCTCAGGGTGGTTGCTGTGGGAAAACAGGAGGAAGATTTTGTTTTATAAAAATAGTAAAGAAGGCAGTATAAAACAAATCTTTAAAAAATGGAGTAGCCTCCATAACATTCAGTTTTTATACCCATTACTAGGTTATGGCTTTATGTGCAGAATCCTGGGCATTTAGAATCTCCTCTTTGAGAGTTCTTCAATACTAACTACTCACCAAGTGGCTATTTCTGTAATCGTTAGAGGAATGTGTTACTTAAGCCTCCATCTGTGTGGGTAACATCTCCTTAAGCAGCTCTTGCAGTGATTTTCAGTATGACTCTCCAGACTTTGGAGGTGAATTTCTCAACTCTGCAGAGCACCCTTGGCTCCCTGAAATCCACTCTTCTAGGTCTCCACTTGCAAGGCTGCGTAAACTATGAAAGTGATAAATGACTCCTCTGAGGCAATGGCCTCTGTTAACCAGTTGCCCTGAGACTGCAAAGAGGAGAGATGGGAGGCACTGCAGGCTCCAGATGGTTGATGGCTGAATTAAATGGTTCTTGGAACGGCTTGATTACTGAACTGAACTGAGTGCTTGCAAACCACAAACTTGACATGAATTATAAATATTATGTCAACACACAAAGTAAGTTGTTTTTTCTTTCTCAGCTCTTGTAACTCTAAAATATTTGTTTGTTCCCAAGTATCTTCTAAAGAAGAACTTCATCCAGATAAAGACATTCAGAAATATTTATTATATTTGCAGGAAAGCCAAAGACAGGCTTAAAGCACCAGTTCTTAGCATTAAGAAATGTTTATTTGGATTCCGTGCAATGGAAATCTGTTCCTTGCGCCTTCTGTCTTGTAGAATGAATGTTACAGGTCTTAGAAGGGCCTTTGCACTCTGCTAGGGGTAGAAGACTCAGAGGCAGGAGGTCAGGGCCTCCTTCAGCACTTCTGCTTTCTCCTCACCCTACAATAAAAACTTGGTGTTCGACTTTGCGGCTTTCTGGATTTTCTTTTTTGTCCTTTACCATTTCTTTAATCTTTTACACATGCTTTCCCTGAGTTCTTTCTTGTTTTTTACATGATGAAAGAGACATTTTTAAATTGTTCTTGGCACTGGTTGCAATTTTTGAGCCTTAGCTTTCCTGACTTCATCCTTAAAGATTCAGGGTATTTGCTGGTATTCTGTTTTGTGTCCCTCTTTCCATCTTTTATACTTGCATTTTCTTTTGTCTCTCATTGGATCAGTGTTCTTTATACAATCCTGCTGGTTTCATCTGGGGACTCTTGTTTTTCTTCTCAGTACCATTGTGTTAGACAGGGCTTTTATAATCGCACTTTTCAGAGTTTCCCAAGTGTTTTGAGTTGTTTGTCCCTTTAAGACTTCTATCCATGGAATCCTTCTTAAATACTTCTTAAAGTATTTCTAAGTTTGTTGAAGACACACATTTGACTTTGATTGATTACTTGTGTTGCATTATGTTGAATTCTAGTATCATATGGTCATGTTCTCCAAAGTTCCTGCATCATCAACCCCTTCTATCCTTTCATCTCTATTACTAAGAATTTAGTCTAGTATAACTGATTGCCAGGTCCAGCATCTTAGGGTTGGTGCCATGCTGGCATCCTGTCACCAAAGGGCTGGAAAGGGGAAGTAGCAATAAACCTGTATGCATTCTTGTGTGGGGATTAGGGAGGGGGATGACAGCTGAAGACAAGGAGATCACCATGGGACCAGCTCATGGTGTTTTCAAGGTCATTTGCCTGGAGTGTGAAAAGTTACCAGCCAAAGCACCTCAGAGTTCCCAAAACATCCAGGTGGCACTGCATTGGCTGAATTTGGACTGGCCAAGAGTGGAACCCCCTTGGTCCTCTGCCTAGCTTAGGAAACCTGAATTCAAACACCCAGGTAGAAGGCTGTACATATTCCACTTGAACAGAACATAGGACACGGACATGGACACACACACAGAGAGCTCTTCCTGCTAAGGTTTTTTTTTCTATCCAGTGGGATCTGCTTCCTGCTCCTGACTTTCATTCTGGCATGATTCGCCTCCAAGGGCTTCCCATAAGGGATCTTCAGGGAACTGAAGTGGCACAGTGGTTAGAGTGCAGTACTGCAGGCTCCTTCTGCTGACTGCTGGCTGACTGCAATTTGGCAGTTTGAATCTCACCAGGCTCAAAGTTGACTCAGCCTTCCATCTTTTCCAAGGTCAGTAAAATGAGGACCCAGATTGTTGGGGACAAGAGGCTGACTCTGTAAACCTTTTAGAGAAGGCTATAAAGCACTGTGAAGCGGTATATAAGTCTAAATGCCAATGCTATCTGAAGCAAGTCCACCTCTTTGCTCTCCCTAAGGTTTGTCTCCTCAGTGTTTTCTCCTAGACTTTAATTTGTGTAAAAGCGGAGTGAATGAATGAAGGTATAAAAAAGGTTTTTCTTCCCACTGCAATAGCCAGGAATTGTGTTCCTTTCCCTTCCCAGATGTGGCTGTGAGTGTGAAGCAGCCCTACCCACAGCAGCGGGGCTGTCCTTTGACCAATCGCAGCTCCCATTATTGGAAAGTTGAAAATGGGAGAGCAATTTGGGCCGAGTGTGGAATACTTTTTGACTATTCAAACTCTGGGACAACTGAAAATGCAAAAGTTCAATCATTGAAAATTAACAAATAAAGCTTTCTTGAGAAATACAGAACAAAAAAGGAGGCAGAAGGACTTGTGCATGAAAGACAAATAAAAGAACTTGTGCATGAAATCACTGAGAAGAAAATGTTCACCTGTGAGAATGTCAGAGCAGTGTTCACCACGAACAACGCAAGCACAAAAGTCCTCTTGGAGTGCGAACAGCCATGAGGAATTCGGTGGTCCCAGGTGCATTTGACTCTCCTCATCCTAATAAAGCAAATAGCAAAACCTGATCATTATAGAACAGGTGTCAAACTCAAAGCCCGGAGGCTGGATTCAGCTTGCAGGGTGCTTAGATCTGGCCCACAGGGCTGCCCTGGAAACAGCAGAGGACCAGCCTGCTGTGACTCTGTCAGCTAAAATGGAGCTCAAGAGGGCCACGGGTAGCCCTCCTGATCTCTGTTTTCGCTGGCAGAAAGTTGCAGGAAGCTGTCGCAGCCAACAACAGAGCTTGGGAGCCCATTTTCACTGGCAGAGTGCACAGGCCACCACAGGCGCCCTCGGCATGAGTGATGTTGAACTAGCCACATCCATCTTGCCCCCCCGAAGTCAAATACAACCCTGATGTGGCCTTCAATGCAATCGAGTTTGACACCTCTGATACAGAAGGACTACTTCAATCTTGATGCCTGAGAGGGGTCCTTCTCAACATGTTTATTGGAAATATTGAGCTGAGAAGCAGAGTGAAGGCATCACTGATTGCTTCCAGCCCAACACGAGCCACTGGCAGGGGTAGTTAATTTAGCCAGATATTCAAAATACTCTGCAGTAAAGCACCTCTGGGTATTTAATACATTTCTGATATTCAAGCAATAATCTTGCACACAGTTGATGCATAAAGAGGAAACCATTTCTAAGAAAGCTGAAATACAGGAAGCCCAGTTTTCCTTCTATAAGGAACCTGGAAGGCAGCCCCCCCCCCCCCAAATTTCCAGTTTCAATGGACCGAGCAGCATTTGGCATGGTCAACAGTTCAGGGCAATTATTCCTTTTTCTTCTACTAGTAGGAAAGACTGAAATAAGATTTCACTGAAGTGCTACTTATTTTTTATTGATTACTATGAGCCACTGTGGTGCAGTACAGTACTGCAGGCTACTTCTGCTGCCTGCCACCTGCCTGAAATTTGGCAGGTGAAATCTCACCAGGCTCAAGGTTGACTCAGCCTTCCATCCTTCGGAAGTGGGTAAAATGAGGACCCAGGTTTTTGGAGGCAAGAGGCTGACTCTGTAAACCGCTTAGAGAGGGCTGGAAAGCACTGTAAAGCGGTATATAAGTACTGTATTTTTCAGAGTATAAGACACTCTGAAGTATAAGACGTACAGACAATATACACTGTTTGTAGTGTTATATTTCAGATTATACTTGTACAGATACTGTTAAAATTGATGTGCTTTCTGGGAGTATAGTTATTCTCTGCTATTTAAAAGAATAGCACTTTTAAAAACAATAGCACTGGCCCTCTTCAGATCAAACATTTATTTTAAAAAGCTTCTGCATTTGGTTAAATTGTCTAGAATAATAATAAAGCAGTCTTTAAAAAATAAGTCTAATAATTTGAACATTCTATAGGAATGTATATCTGTTGACTTTCCTCCCTGCAGCA